AAAAGTAGTCGACTTTGCTTCTAAGCCGACACCTGCCCTGAACATCTTTGTAAATTTCATAATGCTATGTCCTTGAAGTGCGAACTAGCATTGGGACATCCAAACAACAAATGGCATTGATTAGCATGATATCGTAAACAAATTAATATCCATTTCGGGAATAGAGAAAGACTTTTTCCCAACGAATTCATTATGTCGACAATGATCTTAGCACATGATGATGACCATAAAAGTTCGTTAATTTTATGGCCACAACAAAATCGTCATGTGATTAAAAAGTATCTTTATTATTGGTATTTTTTTGTTAACTTTTAAACAGTGGACTTTTTTACCATGGGTAGCTGAAACGATGTTTTTTGTCCATAACTACACAGGTTAATCCCCTTTGTCATATTTTTCAAAAGGCTCCCTCTTTCATAGTGCGTCAAATATGCAAAAAAGTAAAGGTACATTAATGATAGCATTATGCAAAGTCCCAAATGATGGCGTGCGAATAAAAGAAAACCACATGGAAAAAAAATGGTTTGTGTCTGTTTAACGTCTTATTTACAGCAATGGTCATTTAAGGACGTGCCAGGTCTTGGTGGTGTAGAAAGCCGGAGTTCTCGGAGAAAAACCACCGACATACGGCCAGTACCTGGCGACTGCCTCACGTAGGCCACAAACCCGCGACCCAGTGTAGGAGGGCTAGTCAAGCAGAATATAAGACGCCTGAACCATTTTGCCACTGGAGCCCCTACATTAGAAGAAAATACATTGTAGTATACAAATCCATTCATGCATATCAACGTATTCAGACCGGATCTGTCTTTGACTTCGATCACATCACTCCTATCTCTTTGAGACACGTAGCTCAATATAGCCGCCCTACTTTCTTCTTGCACCTATATTTGACTGGTATTGCAAATAAGTTCTGAACAAAAGAATCTTCTTAATTATTAGATGCATGTGTAATAACTTAAGGTTTTTAAGGAAGTTAGCACCGGATTCGTTATTCGTTTTTCGTTTTTCGAACTCATACACCTAAACACCCCCATTTGGCCTTGGTGTGTTATAATCGTTAACTGGATATCCAAAAGCCCTGCTTTTCCTTATTTGCTATTTGAATAACGAAAAAAAAAAAACGAATAACGGGAAAGCTCGTTATTCGTTATTTGTTTTTCGTTTTTCGTTTTTCGAGCTCATGCGCTAAAACACTGCCGTAATTGACCTTGGCGTGTTAGAGTCGTGATCTGAATATCCAAAAAACACTAATGATTCTTATTTGGTATTTGAAAACGAAAAACAAAATTGAATAACGAATAACGGGAAAACTCGTTATTCGTTATTCGAATAACAAAAAACGAATCCGGTGCTAACTTCACGGTGCACTAGTGTATTGAATTATCAGGGTATGCAATACACAAATGCAATAAGTATTGTCTAAATTAAAGATAAACAAGTTCATAATTTATCACTGTTTATATGAAGCTTTCTTCGTTACCTTAAAATACCTGCGATTCAGTCTCTGGTAATTCTAACTACAGTAAGAGAAAACAAAATCTTAACGATTTATTTTGAAAGCAAGTCTCTTGCATCGCCATGCGTTATGTGTACTTTTTACCGATACAGATTTCGGTGTTATGATAGTTTTATCCTTTATTCAACGGTTAAGTGACAGCAGGACCTTGGCCTTAATAGAGTGTCACGTCAAAAAATCAGTTGTTCGTTTCCCTAGCTTCTCTTCACATCAAATGTTATTTTAAAATTTTGCTTTGTTGCAAATATGTTAATCTACTTGAATCATAGAACTATATTATTCTATCCATTACACCTGTTACTTATAATAACTGTTACATATGTTTTGTGGCATTTACAATTGTTATACAGCTTTTACCATAACAACATATGTTTAGCACATTTCAAAAGTTTGACTGTTTGTTAAGATGTCAGCAAATCCGTAGAGTACAAAACTTCTTAAGATTCTAAGGTACCAGGTCAAAATGTGATGTTTACTACCTTCTGAAAATCAAACCATATGAGCTATATGAGAAACAATATAATGACCATCATCCTTAATTATTGTTTTCACATCAGCAATATTCTTCTTTGATGCTGCAACTCTCTGATGTCAACTTTATCATACTTTCATTTGTTCAGCAATCTGAAAATATTTCTCATTTTTACGGCAGAGGTGCCTTTTATGCTGCACAATTCTGCATGTTTCTGTTTTGAAGGTTACTGTAAAGCCCACCGAGCTTTAATATATGAGCGTATTTTAGCAATGAAAAAGGAGCCACTAGTCATGAGTGCAAAAAAAATCAACAACGAATTACTTGTTCAATTATTGTCGCATGATGTCGACATTTTGAAATTTCAAAGCTTTTACAGTCTACATGTACCTAGGCGCTAAATTATTTAATCAATGTTCGTATGGCAGCTGTAAAGTGACATAATTTATTCAAAATTGGCCCTCGTACAAAATAAATATCTTTGTAAGCAATAGGGTTTCCATCCATTGCTTTCTACATGGAGTATTTATGTCGGTGCACATGACGGTATTACGGAAGTGTTTCATTCACAATTAATGCCTAATTTTTGAACTGGTATAGTTATATATCTAACAGTGATGTAAAAGTACAGGTTTAGATACCAAATAGATTACATGGTTTGGTTGTATCAGTCAACAGTCAAAATATACTTGCATGTTTTGCGAACCACCGTAAAAACAAGGGTTTGTTTGGCTATTTTCTTTTGGTTTAAATTTTAATTTTAATTCATATCTCATTTAAAATAATTTCAGCAGAACAATCTTGCCTATTCCTTGATAAAACTACCTGCTGCCCACCACTCTTGATTGGTGTTATCTGATGGCAGCTATACCAGTAAGCTGCAACATCTGTGTAGTTTATTGCTTAGTTAACCACAAATCAAAGTGTTCCTGTCCTAAAATGGCTTCTTATCAGGCTTGCCAACCTATTCATAACAGCCTCCTGATCCTAGCCACGTAAACGTGCTAGTATTCCGCTCAAAACTGTAAATGTGTTCCATAATGTGAACACGTTAAATTGCCTGGTATAACAGTACAAAAATGTCAAGGAAGGTTATGTTTTTTGCAACATCCATGTGCAAATTTACGAATTGGCAAGATATAAAATACGAACTGGTTGTATAAATAGATACGCTTTTCAGGCTGTTTGATAAAAACAATTTCTTTCGTTAATTCCAACATCTCACAGAGGGTCACTTTACCAAGCAAACGCACCAAAATACGAAGTAAAAAGGGAAACAATATAAAACATTAGTGACACCTTATGGTCGTTTCCTCCATGTAATGTTTGATTAAGTGTAGTATTGTTTAACGTCCTATCAACAGCTATGGTCATTTAAGGACGGTCTCCCCTGTGTTCAAGATGCATGTGTGTAGTGTATGTGTGTACGTTTTGGGAGGCTGCGATATGTTCGTGTTTGTCTTCTTGTGATAGCGCGGGACTGATGCCAACTTTACAGTGAAACATACTGCCGAAGACTGCCAGGAGGACACCCCACCCGGTCACATTATACTGACAACGGGCGAACCAGGCGTCCCACTCCTAAATTGCTGAGCGTTAAGCAGGAGTAGAAACTACCATTTTTAACGACTCGGGTATGTCTCGGCCAGGGGACAGAACTCAAAGACTCTAACAGGGGCGAACGCTCAACTAAAGGCCAAAAGTAAGGCATTGGCAGGGGTGACATTAGGAAGAAAAAAGCTGTTTAGAAAGAAGAGAAAAGATAAGATCCCAAATTTAGTCGCCTCTTACGATCATGCAATGGGGGCGGCAGGTACAATTCTTACGCCCTACCTGCAGGAACTTCCTTCATGTCAAACTGATCAGTGATACTACAGACCAAAATAACACACCTCAATTCCCCAAGTGCTCTGAAACACACAACGTATTTAGAAATACTGTTAATGAGAAAGATGTTTTTGAAAATTTCATAATTTTACGAAAGCAACACGACGAAGTGTCAGCAAAACTATCATTTCAACTCAAAATCAATAAGACTATGGCAAAAAAGAGACACATTCCGTCACCTCTACCCAGCACTGTTACATCTGACAATACTTACAAATCAAAATACAATACTGAAAGGTAATTGTAACGAGTAGGTAGAAACTCAAGAAACAAAAGAATGCAAGGATTTTTGTTATCGTTTTTGTTTTTGTCTACCTTTAAAAGATTTCTAAAACGAGTTTGAAATGGCGTATCAAGTCAATGTTGCTACAACTAATGTTAACTTTGACCTAAAAAAAAAAATTGTTTGCGTGTTCGTGGGCAGAGAGTTGGTGTTGCAAATGTCATAAAAAAAAAAGACTGATGGATGCTTCTATTGGCTCAATATTCTCCCGAAATAAATGCGCAAGTATCCGTTGCGCCTATCGATATAATACTCTCCACAACATATACTTTCCTGGAATGAGCATTTTACAGCTACGGTTATTATATTCTTTATCCATAAACTAGTTTCTAGAGTCAAGGGACATAACTCATATTGTCTTGCATTTGTACCTGGTATTATGGAACTTTTTTTGTGTTAAAGTAAATTTTATATATTTACTTTATCTGCATAGTACGATGGCCGATGCCAGAACACTGCTATTCATAAAAAGTGCTTTGCCTTGCTATATAAACTGTCTCTATGTAACAGAAGTTTTTATTTGCAATGCTTTAGCTAAGGGTCAATCCCGAGATCACTGGTTTATTAGTGTGTCATTATACTGATTGATCTTATGAACGCAAGTTACCTTGAAGCGGCTAGTTGGGAGCAATATAACAGCAAAGAAAAATTGCAACTGCAAGACTAGGTTCGAACACGGGACTTTCGAACTCTAGACGGGCGCTCTCATGTTTAGCTACCTGGTCGCCAGGTATCGAACTCTTCCAGTTACTGTACATCTGCATCGTACTCCATACTGACAATATTGTACTAAAAGGCTTCCATCGCTCACCACTACATGTATATATAGGTAACAGTTCAATAACAGTAGTCATACGTGTCTCGCCTTGGAAATAGAGAGAGGAAATAGAGAGGCTTTCATTATCAATGATATAATTGCAAGTCCTAGAAAATTTAAGGGTCGATATTTGAAATAGCAAAATGGATTTGGAAACATATTCTAAAATCATTACAGATTTTATTGCTGGAAGTTACATCACCTCTGCCATCAGGCTAGGAAAGGACCTGGGACTTTTTGATGAGCTAAAGAAACTTGACAAAGCCGTCTCTTCACAGCAGTTAGCAGACGCTTGTAATCTGAAAGAGAGGTAAGATTCTGTGTATTTAGGCAGGTGAATCAAAGGCCATGCTATGAAACGTTTAATTCGAGCGAAGGAACATTATCATCAATTGCTATCAATGTATTCGTATGCTTATATACGGTTTCTATATGCGTTGCACGAGTAAAGCGTGGTTAACGTACTTAACATCATAAAGATAGACATTTAAAAACAGACAAAGCCTGCTGACAGTAGGTTTTTGTGTCTTTAAACAGGAGAAAAAGAAATGAAAAATGAAAGATTTTTATTAATCGAGGCATTATTGAACCGCAATAAGCATATCAGTGTCCGGGACACATAAAGACAGACAGGAAATGTGTATTTATGTGTGATACTTTTTGTATCTATGGTTTGATGTCTGTTTTGGCTTATGTGTTAAGGTCGTGGGATTTTATTTTATTTATATTTCGTGCAAAACTTTATGATTTTTTTGTTTGATTGTATTGTTTTGTAACGGTGTGTGTAAGGTTTTGTTGATATGAGCTGTTTTTGACAATTTATAGTGTTTTCGTTAATGTGTCACTTGTTTTTGTTGAGTTACACTGTTGTTTGTTTCCTTTTAAATATTACATCAATTTTTCTTCTCTCCTTTATCTTTACATTATTCTTTCACTTGGTATGAAAATATTGAAACACGTTATTAGTACCTTTTGTATTTATATTATTAAATCAAACGTCCTTGGTGTCCATTTATTTTTATTAGGGAAACATATTTGTAATTTTTCAAAAATGTCTCTAGTCAATAAAATAAGTAAACATATGCAATGAAATGAAGTTTATACTAATGTGTAACTTGTCATGTGCAGTTTATCTGTGGCGTATTTGTATTGATATTGTATGCTTTTGTGTATTGTTGGTATACTTGTACTACATGTACATGTAAATATGATTAAATCACAAATATATCCGGTTGATGCACAACAAACATATAAACATTACACAAGATAATAAACAAACAAAAATATAAATAGATTTCTAAAGGCACATAAATGTCACAGAACAGTTGCATGATCGGTAGGCAAGCGCACGTCTAGCCAACAACCTTTAGTCAGCCTGTATTACGTAATTTCATTAAAACTCAGTCTAGTGTTTAACTCTGTGTCTGCATACTCAAGGTGGAAATACCCGGTGTGACGTCATGTGGAGCAGAACATAATGCAATTATTTTGTTAATACATTATTTTAAAAGTGACGGTGAATTCTAATTTTCATAAAAATAGGTCCTGTCAATAACGTCACTAAGACAATGACATGCGGTCACTGCTGTATCTATTACAACTCGTATAGGTTCAGTGACACGTCTGTTACGTTAATGAGTCTACATACTCCGGAGATTGCCCGAACCTTAATAGACACACCTATCTTCTTAGATTAGCTGCACGGTTCATAACAATCTCACTTAATTCATTATTATTTTTGCCAATAAATCTTCCTAATCTACATTGAAATATTCCTCTTTTGTAAGTAACAGCAGATGTCCCACACTAACACATTTGTATTGTTTAATGAAGGTAACATATAAGACCACAATAATACTCACCCGCTTGAGAAAGTTTAAGTTCTCGTTAAAGTGGGTGGTGTTGATTTTCCCGCGCGAAATGTTTTCGTTTGATTTAATGTATTTCAGAACGCTTTTTCGTAATTCTAAAGTGAGTATTGTATGCTTGTTTGAAAAAAGGTTTTTAATTGTTCGTTTTGTATTTGTGTCTAAAAACGTTTTCCCTTTTTAAAACGTCTTCCCTTTTTGTGAGGTACGTTTGTGTCTACGTGCAATCGGGTTTTTTTTAATACGTCTTTTTTATTCATAATATGTTTTGTAAATAAGTTTTTTTACTAAATGCCTCGCGCATCTTTTGTTGTTGGTCTGTGGTGCATTTCGTATTAATGATTGACGGGGATTTTTCGTTTGTGTATCTATATTGTTGGTATATCTGTTTGACATGTATATAGAATTAAACAATAACAAAATTCCGTTGATACAAAACTATTTTCATTAGACAAAATAGTATACACACAAATATACATACATAATAGTGTTTTAGATATCACTCAACAGTGGAAGTTGGTCACCTGCTCGGTATGCAAACTGTATTAGTCAGATTACATTCCGTGGTTTCTATTCAATCAAACTCTGACTATTTTTAAGATCTTTTACTGGTTACTCAACGTAAAATAATCTGTAATTATAATGACAATTAAATCAGATCACGATGCATTGTTTGTGAATACGTAATTTGACGGTTAATCCTGTTTGGTGTAGGGTACTTCATGTTTGGCATAGATGTACGTGCTTCTTTTACGTTCATCTTTAAGTATTCTTTTATTTAAAATTAAAATAACATTCAATTTAGAAAGATTGATGAGAATTGTTGTCGACTTATATCGATTGGTTTGTCGATATGTTTAAAAAGAACTACTGTAAAAGTATTATGATATGTATAAATAAGACCAAGAAGAAAAACACATACTGAATTTATTTCAGGATATGTATCCTTTTATGTAAGGCATTTTACAAGTGAAGCATATGAAAGCCTGTTTTTGTTGTTGGCTGTTTTAACTATGCCTTCTATGATGCAACAGCGGTGACAGACACCCAGCTGTCTCGTGCATTAGTGACATAGAAGTATCACATCACATGGACAACAGTACGTGTGCTAGTGCCTTAAAAACCATAATTAGATTTGATTTACTATATCGGGAAATCAGAATTAAAGTCCAAACTGTACAAATAAGTGATTACAGGTAAAAGTAAGAAATCGAAATAAACATTGAAAACTAATTAAAAGAAATAAGTGATAGTTAGTGTACGTTAAAGTGGCAGTGGGCCTAAGTGTGTTGGACGTGTAGCTATCTGCTGGTGCGCAGTATTTAAATTAGTATTTGAACGATAGCAAAAACATTCGATTGGTTTCTATTGAAAATTATTCTTTATTCAAAAGGTGCATTGCTCTACGAATTTTTAAAATCCAAGAAAGCTACGGTAATACCTTACGCTATGTACATTGCAATCCTGCTCTGACAACTGTGTCAGATTGGGGTGTGCTTAGTAACACATAGAACACGATACAGCGGAGGTAAGAGAGTCTAAGTGTACACCTCTTGTATGTTCTATTTTACATCTAGGGATAAACAAGAAAATTAGTTATTTTTTACACAACATGGTTAATTTGTTAAATAATCATAAATTGCTACTTGTAGAAGTATATTACCTGCAATTACTGTTTTTTTTAACTTAATGCCAAAAAAATGATTTATGATGTATTATGTGCAGGGAACTTTCTTTTTTAATGTATTTCCGAGAAGACGCAGGCATACTTGTCTAACTTATATGATGTATTACGTGTTATTATCTCCCTTTGTAGGTATGTCCGGGATTGGTTGGGCTGTTTGGTCTGATTAGTGGTGTATTACCTGTTACTATCACCCTTAATATGTATGTCCAGAATTGGCGTAGCTGTATGGTCTGCCTATTGATTTATTGCGTGTTATTATCTCCCTTTGTATTTAGTCCGGGATTGGCTTGTCTATTGATGTATTACGTGTAATTACCTTCCTTTAAAGTTAGTCCGGGAGTGGCTTGGCTGTACGGCCTGACTATTGCTGTATAACGTGTAATTACCTCCCTTTGTAGTTAGTCCGGGAGTGGCTTGTCTGTACGGCCTGACCATTGGTGTATTACGTGTAATAATCTCCCTTTGTAGTTAGTCCGGGAGTTGCTTGGGTGTACGGCCTGACTATTGCTGTATTACGTGTAATAATTTCCCTTTGTAGTTAGTCCGGGAGTTGCTTGGGTGTACGGCCTGACTGTTGATGTATAACGTGTAATTATCTCCCTTTGTAGTTTGTCCGGAATTGGCTTGACTGTAAGGCCTGACTATTTATATATTACGTGTAATTATCTCCCTTTGTAGTTTGTCCGGGAGTGGCTGGGCTGTACGGCCTGGCTATTGATATATTACTTGTAATTATCTCCCTTTGTAGTTAATCCGGGAGTGGGTGGGCTGTACGGCCTGACTATTGATGTATTGCGTGTAATTATCTCCCTTTGTAGTTAGTCCGGGAGTGGCTTGGGTGTACGGCCTGACTGTTGATGTATAACGTGTAATTATCTCCCTTTGTAGTTAGTCCGGGAGTGGCTGGGCTGTACGGCCTGGCTATTGATGTATTACGTGTAATTATCTCCCTTTGTAGTTAGTCCGGAAGTGGGTGGGCTGTACGGCCTGACTATTGATGTATTACGTGTAATTATCTCCCTTTGTAGTTAGTCCGGGAGTGGCTTGGGTGTACGGCCTGACTGTTGATGTATTACGTGTAATTATCTCCCTTTGTAGTTAGTCCGGGAGTGGCTGGGCTGTACGGCCTGGCTATTGATGTATTACGTGTAATTATCTCCCTTTGTAGTTAGTCCGGAAGTGGGTGGGCTGTACGGCCTGACTATTGATGTATTAAGTGTAATTATATCCCTTTGTAGTTAGTCCGGGAGTGTAAGTTTTAGAATCTTCCGACTGTAGTCAGATTCCCATACAATCAACAAATAAATTCACGTCTGGATTTTCGAATTAACTTCCAAAAATTACTCCCTCGTGGAGGTCAAGGTCGGATTCACGGTGTTCACTGTAAATACCATACAAAAACAGTTCAATGCTTAATTATCTCCCACTGTAGGTTTGTCCAGGACTCGCTGGGTTGATGGTCTTACTATTGATGTATTACAATTACGTAGGTATGTCCAGGAGTGTTTGGGCGGTATGGTCAGACTATCGATATATTACGTGCAATTTCCAACCTTTGTGATATTTCTGGGATCGGCTGGGCTGTATAGTCTGACTAGTGATGTATTACAATTAGTTATCTCCCTTTGTAGGTATTTCAGGGAGTGGATGGGCAGTACTGTCCTACTATTGGTGCATTACGTGTAATTTTCTCCCTTTGTAGGTACAGTATGTATGTCCGCGAGTGGCTTGGTTGTATGGTCTTACGTGTTATCTCTCTTCGAATGTATGCCCGGGAGTGGCTGGGCTCTTTGGTCTGACTAGTGATGTATAACGTGTAATTACCTCCCTTTGTATGTATGTCCGCTAGTGGCTTGTCCGTATGGTCTGACTAGTGATGTATTACGTGTACTTATCTCCCTCTGTAGGTATGCCCGGGAGTGGCTTGGCGGTATGGTCTTACTTGTGATGTATTATGTGTTATTATCTCCCTTTGTAGGTATGTCCGGGAGTGGCTTGGCTGTATGGTCGCCACCAGGATCGTTTCACTAGATGACTCGGACAAATACTTCATCCCTCAGTCACTCAAATCGGGACTTGACGTTCTTGGTTTAACATTTTTCTATCCTGTCATGGGTCCTTTAACAGTCAAAGTGAAGAACTGCTTCAAAAAGGACGGGCCTAAAGGTAGGTGTTTTGCGGTTGTATACAATGTCCTGTAATTGTTTTCCCAGTAGATACTGGTATGACCAGTTAAAATGGCAATATAGCCGAAAGTGAGACTGCTAAATCTATTACAAAGTAGGTAAATATATCATTTAATACTTATATTTTTCTTTCGCTCTACCACACAACCAAAAATAGTCAAAAGAAATTAACTATTTATGAAATTATATTAACTAGGACGTTCCAATCTTATGTGTCATAGGCTTTGGCTATGGAGACATGCCACCTGGTGTAGTTGAAGCTATTGAAGAAAAATCAGGGGACTCCGAGGACACTGTGCAACAGCTCCTTAAGCCTATCACCAAGCCCACAAGTAAGTTTTTCATGTGTTTAGTAAAAGTTCATGTTCTATTGCGCCTCTCATTGTCATCGTTTACATCAAAACTCATAGTTACATTTTATAGCGTTTTTCTCATCACGCCCAGTTAATGTTCTTTTATACATTACATCGTCTTAAAGATTATATCCACCAGAATTGTATTGTGGTATTTTTTTTCCGTCTCACAAAATATTTGAGGATAAAAACAGAATCTCGATGGTTGTAATTTCGATTGATCGTAAAATGAAAAGTTTATTTGGAAAAGTAGACTTTCATCTTATTCAGACTCTTCATCTTTCATCTTTTTTTAGTATCAGTTTTAAAACATTTCTAGCGTACGAGACATGTATTGAAAACATACGATCAAACTCATATAATATATTAATATAAAACATAATGTCTAACTTAGTGTGTAACTTTCAGAGTCGTTGAACACCATACTTGACCTAGGCTGTGGAGGAGGATGTGCAACTAGAGCGTTAAGAAAGTGTTTTCCAAAGGCAGTCATATACGGCGTCGATTATAGCGAGGATGCGCTAACCAAAGCAAAATCAACTGCCAAAGCTCAAGGCACAGAAAACCTGCATTTTGTAAAGGAAGACGTGACATCATTGCCCGCCGACTGGACAGGGAAGTTTGACTGGGTCATCCTGTTAGACGTGCTTCATGATCTGCCTGATCCAGTAAATGCCATGAAAGAGGTTCGCCGCGTCTTGAAGGACGACGGAGTCGTGTCCATCGTTGATCCAGACCTACATAGTAGCCATAGAGACAACATAGGAGATGCTAACTTGGCAGGTGTAGGGTACGCCATCAGTTCTGTGATTTGTCTCCCTTGCAGTTTGTCGATAGACGGCGCAGCTGGTCACGGCATGGGCTGGGGAACCGAAAACAAAGAAAAGTTTTTAACCGGTTCTGGCTGGCTAGTGCAGGACAAACGAAATATCGAAAGTCCGTTTGCTTTGAACTTCACTTGTGTCAAAGCATCGCCAACGACCTAGCAAGTGCATCTCAGTGAATCATGGCGAGATATTAATGTGTTTCCCCCGGTGAAACACTTTTAACCAGATGTTGCTATCAGAACACTAGATATTGTCTTTTTACGAGACAGCATACAACACAGCTTTTTATCAAACATTAAAACTGGACGGGACAATGTTATAGGTGTACACATTTTCCTAATTCATCAGTAGGTCTCTGCTAAAAATTATATATAGGAATAATTTAATGATGAGAAGTAAGTATTTATATTTCGATTAAGGAAGAATGCTTATTGAAGTAATATAATGAATACACGATACTGATAACACAGTAAACCACAGCATCAACATAAAAGGTAAAACTCTACTTCACCATCATCCCACAAGAATACAGCTATTTCATCTGCACACACCACCTGTGGCATCCGCCGCTATGCCTGACGTTTTTTTCCAGAAAAGTTCGTGGTCGCCTATACTGTAAGACACAGAATATATATTTGTATTCAATGTAAACACTAATAGTTCATTATCTGTAACGCCGATAACCCTTAAGTCATAGCATTAGTATAACCTTACATATGTGTCATAAGAACAGCCATCCAAACAGCTGTAGTCGTTTGAGTGTTTGATTCGATGGTCTGTACTGGGTTATTTGAAGTGAACTGCTGAGCTGCACGGTCCAAATATAACTCGGCGTCAAGCAGTAAACATGCAACAAAACAGAAAGAATGGTACAAGCATTCGTCAATAACATGTATACGTTTCTTTATTTGCTTGTGAGAGTTTTGATGCCAATTTGTTTTCAAACTCCATTTATCAACTTAGACTATATATATTTGACATTTACACAGGACAAATCATATATCCAGTAATGTAAAATGGAAAATTGTATTTCGTATGTGGAACGTTTCGAATTTATACTAACAATAAATTATCTCAGACAATCTAGTAGCATAGCATTATAAGTCGTCTAGATCTTTAATACATGTAACTATGTAACTCATTTTTATTCTATCTATTGATAACCAAATAAAAAAGCATATTTAGAAAAAGAAGTGTTGAGTTTATCTAGGTTAAGTGATAACCTTTGTTACCTTGATGTCTGAACTACGGATGTTCCAATAAACAAGTTATAAGTTATGGTATGTGACAGTGAGGAATAGGTGAAGAGACTTTTTCCAATACTTATGGAGTGTTAATTTTGAAATGTCATTATTTTTGTCTACAAATCGATTTATTTCATGCATCAAAGTTCGGTCAGCGTTAAATACTAACATTATATGGGAAGGTCAGGTTGATGCATAGCCAAATGCAACTATTTTGGGTGAGGATGGAAAACTAAAACTGAAGTCAAGGGGCGAAAATACTAACGGCATGAGTTAAAGGTGTACATCTAACCGAACATGTTATTACAGTAGGGACCCATTACAGGCACATATAGATAAATGAAAAATGTATTTACGATACAATTCTTACATGTTACTAAGCCTAGTTCTTATGTTAACTAAATATCTAAGACTTGAATGTTCGACCATTATGGAATAAATGAAATTTAAAAACAAAACTCAATTTATATAATACATGCATAGCAAAATTCGATTCCGTTTGTTATACGCGAAAGTATTTGAATGTTTTACTGTTGGTGTATTTGACCTTGAAAAAGGTCAAGATCATTGCATTTGAGAAGATTTGCGGCTATTAATTCTGGTACTATGCCCTATATCAAGACGCGAGCGTCAATATTTTGAATTATGTTCCATAGTGTGGCTCGTTATTTGGTAGTTTCTGCTCCTATTCTCGCGATAAAAATATGTGACTTTACTTTGAATTCGTCTACATTTGCATGGCAGCTGTCGTCGATGAAACAGTAGACGTTTAACCTTCTGGACCACCTGGTCTTATTGTCTTAGGGTTTTCAAGTGCCTCCATGTAAGCATATATATGTTCATATTTTGCCATATCATAATCATTTTGAGTTGGAAATTCTGTTTAGTTGAAACTGTTTTTCCATTGGTTTATTATTATTGATTAAGTTCAGATAGTTATGACGATCATGTAACAATGGGACTGGTATATATGCTTCTATCATATTTGATCTCTTCAAGTATTTCTTATGATAAGTTCTTTCTACATAACCAATAACATTTTCTATGTGACGTTTCGATGACTAGTAAAATATATACACTGTCACCTTCATCAGACAAATGACCAATGAAGCGTATGCACACAAAGGTGTAAAATATTTACGAGTTGTCTATAAAATGGATGTCGATTTCGACTACGCTGGAAACGTATGTATAATAGTTGATATATATATACCGAAATGACTCAATTCAGCTACGCTTTGTTAACACTTGTTCATACATGTAGATGTGCGAGAGTCTATTATCCCCCTCGTCTCGATTTAGAACTGGCCCAATGCGGCGTATTCAGATGGCTTACTTTATCTGTCGCTTAAACCATCTAAAGGACGCCATCTGGATACGGCGCATCGGGTCAGTTCTAAATCGAGACGAGGGGGCTCAAAGACTCTCGCACATCTATGACCAAGTGTTAACAAAGCGTAGCTGAATTGAGTCATTTCGGTATATATACAACAACTAAGAAATCACCAGGTATTAGTTTTCGATTTGCGATTTTTTTTCTAATTGCTATTTGAACATCACAAATTAGGATCTCTTAAGATAGATTAGAAGCACATTATACAAAATTCTAAATTTACATCTTTGAATACTGAAGTCAAATAAGGAGAGATGACAAAAAGCTTGTCAATACAGAAAAGACAAAAAGATAAAGATGTAGAAAAAAACATAGTATATAACGGTTTCTTTTAAAATTTCGACACAGAAAACTTTCAATCTGAATTCAGGAAAGGAATCCCATATTAAGTCAGACGTTGGTTTACTTATATCTTTTCATATTTATTCATATACCAATAACAAAATTTGATGCATGGATCTATTATTCGCTATTGTATATTGCTCCCTTTAAACAGGCACTGTGTCAAAACAGTCGGTGAAATAGTAAACATAGCAAGACTTAACTTTATGGAAAGGTTTGCAACAGGCCGTTCGTCATGGTCTACTTCTTATCTACCGGCCGGCATCTAGCGAAGGAAACGTGTGTGCAGATTATGTTCACCACATTTGTTGCAGCTATATTTTATGCAAAACCATTGTACAGCCTGACTGCCTGTTAAAATGTGTAAAGTCTACCTTGGTACGATGGCCAGTAGCAGACACACAGATAACGCCCTTACTGTCGTTTAATGTACCATTCATTGAGCGTTTAAATGGAAAACATTAATGTTAGTCGGGAATCACTAGCGAAAGTTGTGCCACAGTTTGGACGATTCAAGTTGTTTTCCTTTTATGACAAAAGCTTTAGTACCATGTAAATTTCATCCAATACGTTTCCATACAAATATTGCAGAACCATGTTTATTGGTACGCATGCACTGCACCTACTAACTCGTGCACATTTCAATGATGAATGTGACATAGATTACAATAAAACGACAGTTGACCGAACGTGTACAGTGTATCTACAGATTTTTGAAGATAATAATTCAAATCAGCGTAACCGAATTTAACTTCAGTCACTGCAAACACTAGTTTGATCAAGATAAACAAAACATAAATTAACGCACATGACCAAAAACACGAAATTAACCTACATGGCTGTAGCACGGAGTTTAATCTCCATCGTTTTAAACATGAGTTTAAATAACATCACTGTTACCAGTAAGTAAAACTACATCACTGTAAACAAAAGGTAGACTACATCACTGTTACCAGTAGGTTAACCTACATCAATGTAAACAAAAGCAAGACTCTATCACTGTTACCAGTAGGTTAACCTACATCACTGTAAACAAAATGTAGACTACATCACTGTTACCAGTAGGTTAAGCTACATCACTGTAAACAAACGTTAGACTACATCACTGTTACCAGTAGGTTAACCTACCTCACTGTAAACAAAAGGTAGACTACATCACTGTTACCAGTAGGTTAACCTACATCACTGGAAACAAAAGGTAGACTACATCACTGTTACCAGTAGGTTAACCTACCTCACTGTAAACAAAAGGTAGACTACATCACTGTTACCAGTAGGTTAAGCTACATCACTGTAAACAAACGTTAGACTACATCACTGTTAGCAGTAGGTTAACCTACATCACTGTAAACAAACGTTAGACTACATCACTGTTACCAGTAGGTTATCCTACATCACTGTAAACAAAAGGTAGACTACATCACTGTTACAAGTAGGTAAGCCAATATCACTGTTACCAGTAGGTTAGGCTACATCACTGTAAACCAAAGGTAGACTACATCACTGTTACCAGTAGGTTAGCCTACATCACTGTAAATAAAAGTAAGACTACAACCCTAGCTGTTACCAATAGGTAAGCCTACATCACTGTTTGCACGCTTTTAATCTTTAATCTTGTAAAGAATGATTTAACTTTTTTCACAGTTAATATAAACTGCATGACTGTTAACATGAGGTAAATCCTCATCGCTGCAAACAGGAGTTTAAATCTTTCTCAATATTATCCTACTTCACAGTAAGTAGGCGTTTTAATTAAACCAATGCAAACAGCAATTAAACCTACGTAACAGATATTTTTACACACCAGGAGCTGGTGTTTCTTATCTTTTCGCTTGTTAGAGAATAGAGGTTGGCAGTTCTCTTCCTATATGGCGTTACTCATCAGGAGTTGAGCCTCTATTTCTCTGTGTGGTTAAAACAACAGAAGATGGTGATTCTCCTTATTTGTGTCGTTATCCACTTTTTTTTCCTCCACTATGATGACGCTTCTCTTTCTTTCTCTGTGTGGTCTGACATTAGGAGTTGACGTTAGACAGCAGGAGTTCGTGCTTATCCACTCTGTGTGGGTCCTCTCCTCTGTGTCGTTAGACCTCTGGGGTTGGCGTTTCTCTTTATTTCTCTGTGTCGTTAGACCTCTGTGATTGGCGCTTCTCTTTATTTCTCTGTGTCGATAGACCTCTGTGGTTGGCGTTTCTCTTTATTTCTCTGTGTCGTTAGCCCTCTGTGATTGGCGTTTCTCTTTCTTTCTCTGTGTCGATAGACCTCTGTGATTGGCGTTTCTCTTTATTTCTCTGTGTCGATACACCTCTGTGATTGGCGTTTCTCTTCCTTTCTCTGTGTCGTTAGACCTCTGTGATTGGCGTTTCTCTTTCTTTCTTTCTCTGTGTCGATAGACCTCTGTGATTGGCGTTTCTCTTTATTTCTCTGTGTCGTTAAACCTCTGTGATTGGCGTTTTTCTTTATTTCTCTGTGTCGATACACCTCTGGGATTGGCGTTTCTCTTTCTTTCTTTCTCTGTGTCGATAGACATCTGTGATTGTCGTTTCTCTTTCTTTCTCTGTGTCGATACACCTCTGTGATTGGCGTTTCTCTTTCTTTCTCTATGTCGATAGACCTCTGTGATTGGCGTTTCTCTTTCTTTCTCTGTGTCGATACACCTCTGTGATTGGCGTTTCTCTTTCTTTTTCTGTGGCGATAGACCTCTGTTATTGACGTTTCTCTTTCTTTCTCTGTGTCGTTAGCCCTCTGTGATTGGCGTTTCTCTTTATTTCTCTGTGTCGATAGACCTCTGTGATTGGCGTTTCTCTTTCTTTTTCTGTGTCGATAGACCTCTGTTATTGACGTTTCTCTTTCTTTCTCTGTGTCGTTAGACCTCTGTGATTGGCGTGTCTCTTTCTTTCTCTGTGTAACTAGACAGCAGGAGTTTGCGCTTCCCTATCTTTCTGTTATCAGAACACTGGCGATTAACACAGCTCTCAGTCAGTTAAACCTTCCCTACTTTTCCCCCAAAAATCCTGCGTTATGAAGGGTGAAGTTAACGCTTTAGGAATATACTATTTATATATTTAATGTCGTTTAATAGATCATTCTTGAGTTATATTCTCAGATGAAAATTCTTTTATTTAAAATATTCTGAATTGTTATATTTTACTCCTTAACAACTTAACTGAACTCTTCAATCATTGTCCGGCTGTCTACGGTAGGGACAGAGTTACATAATTTACATACTGTAATTGATAATGCATACCATGCCAAACGTCATTACAACAAGTTCGTCACATATCATGACGTAGGTCTCCGACAACAGGAACAGTATTCATTTCACGCCTAGTGTCACATATCTCCTGAAAATGTATGTCCAGGTGTGAATGATAAAGGATGACGTAATATGAATGGATTCTACATAATCAGAATTGTTAAAGATGAATATAAATAGTTTCACATAGTATCTTAGATTTAGAATTTCATACCTCTGACTCTTGAGAACCATTTTTTACGACAACTTATACAAAGTGTAATTATATATGTGACCACTTGTATGATGCAGTTACAAAGCAAAACTACGTGACAGGTTATGTACTGTTGTTACAAAGACAGACGATGTCACACAATTAAGGTGTAGTAACTAGGACGGACATTGTGGTAACTAGTACAGTGTTGTTACCGAGATAGATGATGTCACACAATTAAAGTGTAGTAACTACGCCGGACATTGTGGTAACTAGTACAGTGTTGTTACCGAGACAGACGATGTGACACAATTAAACTGTAGTAACTAGGACGGACGTTGTGGTAAATAGTACAGTGTTTTTACCGAGACAGACGATATCACACAATTAAAGTGTAGTAACTAGGACGGACGCTGTGGTAACTAGTACAGTGTTGTTACTGAGACAGACGATGTGACACAATTAAAGTGTAGTAACTAGGACAGACGTTGTGGTAATTAGTACAGTATTGTTACCGAGACAGACGATGTCACACAATTAAAGTGTAGTAACTAGGACGGACATTGTGGTAACTAGTACAGTGTTGTTACCGAGACAGACGATGTCACACAATTAAAGTGTAGTAACTAGGACGGACGTTGTGGTAACTAGTACAGTGTTGTTACCGAGACAGACGATGTCACACAATTAAAGTGTAGTAACTAGGACGGACGTTGTGGTAACTAGTACAGTGTTGTTACCGAGACAGACGATGTCACACAATTAAAGTGTAGTAACTAGGACGGACGTTGTGGTAACTAGTACAGTGTTGTTACCGAGACAGACGATGTCACACAATTAAAGTGTAGTAACTAGGACGGACGTTGTGGTAACTAGTACAGTGTTGTTACCGAGACAGACGATGTCACACAATTAAAGTGTAGTAACTAGGACGGACGTTGTGGTAACTAGTACAGTGTTGTTACCGAGACAGACGATGTCACACAATTAAAGTGTAGTAACTAGGACGGACGTTGTGGTAACTAGTACAGTGTTGTTACCGAGACAGACGATGTCACACAATTAAAGTGTAGTAACTAGGACGGACGTTGTGGTAACTAGTACAGTGTTGTTACCGAGACAGACGATGTCACACAATTAAAGTGTAGTAACTAGGACGGACGTTGTGGTAACTAGTACAGTGTTGTTACCGAGACAGACGATGTCACACAATTAAAGTGTAGTAACTAGGACGGACGTTGTGGTAACTAGTACAGTGTTGTTACCGAGACAGACGATGTCACACAATTAAAGTGTAGTAACTAGGACGGACGTTGTGGTAACTAGTACAGTGTTGTTACCGAGACAGACGATGTCACACAATTAAAGTGTAGTAACTAGGACGGACGTTGTGGTAACTAGTACAGTGTTGTTACCGAGACAGACGATGTCACACAATTAAAGTGTAGTAACTAGGACGGACGTTGTGGTAACTAGTACAGTGTTGTTACCGAGACAGACGATGTCACACAATTAAAGTGTAGTAACTAGGACGGACGTTGTGGTAACTAGTACAGTGTTGTTACCGAGACAGACGATGTCACACAATTAAAGTGTAGTAACTAGGACGGACGTTGTGGTAACTAGTACAGTGTTGTTACCGAGACAGACGATGTCACACAATTAAAGTGTAGTAACTAGGACGGACGTTGTGGTAACTAGTACAGTGTTGTTACCGAGACAGACGATGTCACACAATTAAAGTGTAGTAACTAGGACGGACGTTGTGGTAACTAGTACAGTGTTGTTACCGAGACAGACGATGTCACACAATTAAAGTGTAGTAACTAGGACGGACGTTGTGGTAACTAGTACAGTGTTGTTACCGAGACAGACGATGTCACACAATTAAAGTGTAGTAACTAGGACGGACGTTGTGGTAACTAGTACAGTGTTGTTACCGAGACAGACGATGTCACACAATTAAAGTGTAGTAACTAGGACGGACGTTGTGGTAACTAGTACAGTGTTGTTACCGAGACAGACGATGTCACACAATTAAAGTGTAGTAACTAGGACGGACGTTGTGGTAACTAGTACAGTGTTGTTACCGAGACAGACGATGTCACACAATTAAAGTGTAGTAACTAGGACGGACGTTGTGGTAACTAGTACAGTGTTGTTACCGAGACAGACGATGTCACACAATTAAAGTGTAGTAACTAGGACGGACGTTGTGGTAACTAGTACAGTGTTGTTACCGAGACAGACGATGTCACACAATTAAAGTGTAGTAACTAGGACGGACGTTGTGGTAACTAGTACAGTGTTGTTACCGAGACAGACGATGTCACACAATTAAAGTGTAGTAACTAGGACGGACGTTGTGGTAACTAGTACAGTGTTGTTACCGAGACAGACGATGTCACACAATTAAAGTGTAGTAACTAGGACGGACGTTGTGGTAACTAGTACAGTGTTGTTACCGAGACAGACGATGTCACACAATTAAAGTGTAGTAACTAGGACGGACGTTGTGGTAACTAGTACAGTGTTGTTACCGAGACAGACGATGTCACACAATTAAAGTGTAGTAACTAGGACGGACATTGTGGTAACTAGTACAGTGTTGTTACCGAGACAGACGATGTCACACAATTAAAGTGTAGTAACTAGGACGGACGTTGTGGTAATTAGTACAGTGTTGTTACCGAGACAGACGATGAGACCACTAATACATGTATAATGAAGCTAGCAGGACAGACCACATTACTGCGAGGTTATGTATTGTTGTTACCGAGAAAGACAATGCGACAACTAGTTAACAATACAGAAGGTGTGACAACTAATATAATGAAGTTACCAGGACAGAGACCTTGTCTGGTTATGTACGTATGGGCTGTTGTTATCGACACAGACGATGTGACACAATTAAAGTGTAGTAACTAGGACGAACGTTGTGTTACATGTAACTAATACAGTGCTGTAACTGAGACAGACGAAGTTCCAATAAAGTTATATAGAATTGTTACCTGAAAAAGGACGTGCCAATTAAAATATGGTAAGTAACGCATATACACGAATAGATTGTATTGATTGTATAGACTGTTTATCTATGTACTGTAAAGCGCTGTATAGTGGTTTATTATAGCTAGACAAGGAGCTATATCAAATGCTGTATGCTTTATTTTATTATTATAACAGACCATACGACAAGTTAATATAGTGGTGTTAACATGACAAAGGATACGACAACGAAAACTATGGTGTAGTTGCTGGGAAATACGACTGTAATTCATATAAATATGTATATCCGTCTTCCCAAGATGTACCAGCGTGCCAGCGTCAATGATGCTATATAAAACAATACACTATCACCACTAAAACACTAAAGAATACCTAGGTGTGATCGAAACCATGATTCGAATTGAAAATTATTAACACTGGGAAAATATATGAACGAACGATTTACACATATCATCAAGTTTAAGAAATAAGTATATGGAAAATATGTCCTCTGTTTCATTGACAACACAACAATGAAACCTTGATAATTTCCAAAAGATGATATTCTCTTGAAGTGAGCCCCGGAATTGTGACATATGATGCTCAAACATGGAGTTTATGGTCAAGCCTGATTTCTTGTTCCGGTTATAACTTGATAATAACATTTTATTTTGTCAATGATTTTGAAAACCTTTGAAGAGACTTTAAGTCGAATACTGTTTTCAATGTTTTAATTTTATGTTTTGATCGTTTGACATGATTAAAGCGAGTTACAAGAATGTTGATTTGAGTACAAAACCCATGATTGAGCATAAAAACGGATTCATGAATACGGACCTTGAACTACAACTGTCAGTAATGAGCATGCTATATTAAAACAGATTAATACTCATATCGCAAAGAAATAGCGGCTATTAGACTATTGTGGTAACTATGACCTTCAAGAATGTGATGGCCCAATCAAAACAATAATTATTTTAAAAGTGTCAAAAGTTTATACACAATTACCGTTGGAAATTGTGTGTATTGTCACAATTAAAACACGAGTCATCTCCCTTGTGTATACGTACTGTTCCTCACACTGAGGTCTTCGTACCGTATAACGTATTGCACTCGGATTAACCTGGTTTTACATTCAGAAAGCTTAAAATAAAGTAAGTTAATGATATTTACAAATGCTAACGTGCTTTATAAAAACAAACATGTTGCAGGAAAAGAGTATGCAAAGTAGATGTACAGGGGCGGATCCAGGATTTCCTAAAAGGGGGGGGGGGGCCGAGAAATTTTTCTCAATAGCCAACAGCGTGCTGCGAAAGGCAGCAGCCCGAGCGCGTAGCTGGAGGAGGGTGAGGGTACAGACCCCCTCCCCCTAAGGGGGGTTTGGGGATTTCCCCCCAAAAAATGTGTTTTCTAGAACGTCTCAGAAGCGATTTCCCGTGTTCTGAGGATTGTTTTTATGTTTAATTAACAAGAAGAAAAAAACATATTTTAAGTATGGCCCAAAGGCTTTTTTTGTGTACTGGAAAGAAAATTTAAGTTTCGGTTCAAATTCTCTATCAATAGCGTGTTTTAGAAGTCATATGGTATTATTATAGGGGCAACCTGGTGATGACAAATGTATGAATCCACAGGGGACTTGTTCATTATTACCTAGTTTGGCGTCCCACCCGCAAGGGGGATACGAGAGGTCCACCGTCAAAATATAAACCTAGTCTTCAGACATTGTACGTTTGTCGTACAAAAGAACAAATAACACCATAACATCGTTGCTGTTTAATTAATGAGTTACTCATGGCATCACTAAGTTTGTAAACAAACGGTAAGTTCAAATCAATGCGACACCCAAGGTCACTAGCTATATACAGGGGCGTTTCTAGGATATTTGAAAGAGTGGGCGTAGAATAAGATCTGTCGCCGAGCGGAGCAAGGCGAAAAAAGTTTTGGACCTTTTTTTTAAAAAACATAAAATAATTGTGAAATGCACTAATGTAACGGTTCCTATATATATTTTATAGTTGAAGTGCCATGGTTTGACATTTTTTTTTATCAGAGTATG